GATTTTTTCATATGGCGATGTATTACTGTTAATGAAATAATATACTAACATAATGAAAAAATGTATAATAATATACATAATAATATAGTGAAAAATAATTGTTCCGCTCATGAAATTTTGAAATGTTAATAAATTTTTAAGCCGTTGTGGTGCTACGCATGATTGTCGGGCAATAATAATAATCTGCTTGTGGAGCAATTCAATAATAAAATCAGCCATAAAAATAGCATCAATAATGAAATATTGTAAAGAATATGGATCTTTTCTCGGGGAATTGTTCGGAATGAAAACTCGTTGTGGATTGTAACGGTTTCTGAAAACAAAGAATGAACAATCTGAATACAAAATTTAGGTTATATTCGAGATTATAAACAATATAGAGAAAATAGCCAAGGTTAACAAGTAATAAAAAGGATCATAACATAAGTAAATGATAACGTACCAAATTGCTGAACAATCTCGGGCAAGTTTGGTTCAAAATGAATTTTGTCTGAGCTCATTAACTCTGGTCCTACCTAAAAGGTCCCAACCTTATGTATACGAGAGAAGTATATATGTTCAGTAAAATTCTTTACAAATATGTCAGCATCATGCCACATTTATGGAGGCAAAATTAGGTTTTAAAAAAAATATAACTCAGTACTCACAGCAGTGAGTGACAGAGAGCGCATTTTCTCGTCGACGAAAACTTGAGGTCACGGACGGACTGACAGACGGACGGACAGACATACAGACAGACGGACATGGCGAGCACAATAGTGCATTTGTCTATAAATGATAAAATGCGCTAAAAACACATAAAATTTAAACTTATTAGAGGGAGGGTGAAGAAATAACATGAATAAAGTAGAATGAGGGACATAAGAGAATTATGTTAGTAGCGTTGAAGCAGAAATCGAGATTATTTATAACCCAAAATTAAATAAATTTGAATAATAATTATTATCGTAAATCATAGGTGGGTAGGTGGGTAAGGAAAATGCAGATTCAGAAGAAAATTTTTTTAACGCAATCTATTTCTCTAAATTCAAGAGTATTGAAGTACATATTTTTAACAACAGTTATTGATATTAGAGATGTTTAATGATTAGATTAGGATATTTTATTTAAGGAAAACACGACGAGATATTTTAAACTAACTAGATTAACTATAGACACTACTTTATAAACAGTACAAAGGAAGACATCACGAATATTATGAATGCTGTCTAATTTGCGCCTTAAAAAGCTACATATATATTTGTTATTTGACTTTCATACAGAAACAATAACTTGTTCGGATTGAAATACTCATTATTTTGAATAATCGAGCCCAATTTGAAATATAGTGCATACCCAATGTTTTTAAATTTTGTCCAAAAAGTTCTTACAGATATTTTTGAGACGGGAAATATTTTACTGGAAATTTTTGTAAGATATGCAAAAATATTACCACCGAATAAATAAAACATCCTCTCGTTGATTATCTTCAACTAAAATGTATAGATATTAGAGTGGTTTTGTCTTTTTATAAAATAAAATAAAAATAATAGTTATGAAAACATTTTTAGACTTCTTTATTTCTGTATTTCATGTCAGCTGAAACTTATTTTTCTTTATATACTTTTCGCATTGATACATTTTTAGGCTTTAAAATTTTTCAGTATAAAAATATCAGATGTAAATGTTTTTATTCTACATGTTTTCCTATTTTTTTCAAACATACTTGCCATAAAGTTTTTATCCGAATATTTGCCCTTAATTGTAAACATGTAATCGTCAAAACTCAAGAGAAAAATCTACTTGGGACAAGCTTATATAATTTATAATTAAATTTATTGAGATAATTTTGAACGTTTAATATATTTCCTCATTTCATATTACTCATGATTTCTCAAGTTCGAAAAAAACCGAAGCCAAATTTTCACAAATGAAATTTTCAGATCAAAGAATATATATTTTTCTGACCTATAATTATGCAATGATACAGAGAATGTTAATCTTATTCATATATTAAATAGATTTTGGAAAATCACCGATAGATGTAATTTCTACGGATGATTACTGAAAGAATTTCTTTTATCTCTTTCTAAGCGTGATATACGAACTGCACGAAATTGAATGATGTTATGAAAATTCATTCTGAATGTTATGAAAATGAAATTCAATTATGAATGAATGAAAAAATCACCTTAACCTCTTTATTATATGTTTGGTTTCAGGTGATTGATCGTGCTTAATCGATAAAATGAATAAATATTTTGAATATGATTCGGAGAATCTTCTTTTTACCGATTATTTTATTTCGTTTTAACTGCTTTATGTCTTTCGTGAGGATTTATATATCCGTATTAACTTTAATTTTGAACTGTTATGTATTTATATGATAGATTATCTTCATATTTGAAATATTATGTTTATAATTGAAAGGGTATCTTTATCTATGAAAGTGTATCTTTTCTGTGGAAGGTTATCGCTATTAGTGAATTCTCTATGACTTTGTAAGATTATCTTTATCTCTGAGTAGGTACCATTATTTTTGAGATGGTATCTTTATCTCTGAATGGTTATCTTTATATCTCCCATACATCACATACATAAAGATCAACAACAATAGTCACAACAACGAGCATTAGTTTATTATACTATTTAATCTAATTGTTTCAGATTATGCACAAAATGGCGTCTCTAAGAATAGATAAATGCATTGTTCTGTATACACGTCGGTGACTTAACTTAACAAACAGCCGAGGCAAATATTCAATAATTTATACTAGAATATGTGAATCATATAGACAGAAAACGTTTACTATTCATATTCATTAGTCGAAAATCAGAATTATATTCCAATTCGAAAAATTTAGTAGCATGCGTCTTGATAGACTTCAGAAAATATAAATTTTGCCTCAATTTACATAATAATTGCTTAATACTACATTCACATTGTGATCCGTTCCAGTAACTCGATAAATACTCGATCCGTTCGATAAATAAACGAAAATAATTTTCCACCTATCATTAATTAATAGCACATTAATTAAAGAACAAGCGTTAAATAATAAAAGATCGGAATTTAAAATTTCTTAACTTGGAGGGAAGATAAAAAATATCTTAACTTTACCACCCAACACGACGTCAATATTTTCGAGTTGTTTCATCGCAGCTGAAATTACGTGTATAATTATTCAGTGTATAATTATTCAGTGTATAATTATTCAGTGTGTAAATATTCAGTGCATAATTATTCAGTGCAGAATTATTCACAGCAAAATTATTCAGTGTAGAATTATTCACAGCAAAATTAGTCAGTGTAGAATTATTCAGTTATTTGCTGAATAATTCTACACATAAATACGTGTTAACAATTCCATACGTAACAAAAAACACGTATTTTGAGAGTCATGTGTCTCAATTTATGACCAGCCACCTTACTTCTGAAGGATATTTAATGGTGATTTTTTTCGCCAATTATTTTTCGCGCTATTCTTTGGCACATTAAAGTACATTGTCGAGTTTATACCCACCAGGCAACGTGACTTACACTCAATTGGATAAGTGAGTCATACCCACCGGGCTGTGTGAGTGATATCAACCTAACTAAACCTACCGATTTACGTTTCAATGCAAAATGTTCAGTTGGAATGATGCACTAGATTCGGTTCTGTGCGCTAAAGTCTGAAAAATTCGATCAAACATATAACTATTTTATTATCTGGCCAGCACAACACGTTATTCATCCATTGATTCTTAGTTTGGGCTTTCGTGAATGGTCCTGATGAATTGCGTTAGTATACAGGCATCGTATTATCAATGTTGTATCGACCTAACTACACGTGGCGGCTGATTTCTTGTTTGTGATTGGTGAGTTTAGCATAAAAAACCGTCAGCGATTGATAGAGTTACGTAACTATTTTCGATTGCACGGCCTTAAAGATGATTTACATCATTCGCAGGCTTCTTAGATATGTAATGATGTTCATTGTCTAAATATTGAAAACTGGGATCACATGAACTCTTGCATCGCGAATGATGATGATCTAAAAATGTTAATGATGTTCCTTGTCTAAATATTGAAAACTGGGATCACGTGAACTCTTGCATCGCGCATGAATCTCGCAAATTTAGTAAAGTAAAATCAGTCGATCAAGCCCTCGTAATACGAAGACTTGGAGCTTCGCAGAAGCCGTTGCAATTCGTAGGTAAATTCCAGCATAACAGACACAAGTATAACATAGTCAACTAAAACACATTTTATCAGAATTCCTGCTAACTACTACACCAGATTTCCTAGTCTACATATCATTTACTGCATTTAGTGAATATTTATGAACATTCAGTTAAAACCTCGATGTTAGTGAGCTAGTTGGGGCAAACCACTGACAGACTATATTCATTCACACAAGTCCCAGTGTCAGCGGGATTGGTGCTGTCACTGGCGTCCCGGTGTCAATGGTGTCTCAGTGTCAGTGGCATCTCAGAGTCAGTGGCATCTCAGTGTCAGCGGCATCTCACTGTCAGTGGCATCTCAGTGCCAGTGGGATTTAAACTGTCAGTGGCATCTCAGTGTCAGTGGGATTTAAACTGTCAGTTGCATCTCAGTGCCAATGGGATTTAATTAAAGTGTCAGTTGCTTCTCAGTGCCAGTGGGATTTGCACTGTCGGTGGCATCTCAGTGCCAGAGGGATTTACACTGTCAGTGGCATCTCAGTGTCAGTGGCATCTCAGTGTCAGCGGCATCTGAGTGTCATTGGCAACGCAGTGTCAGTGGGACTTACACTGACGCATATCAGTGTCAGTGGGATTTACGCAGTCAGTGGCATCTCAGTGTTAGTGGCATCTCAGTGTCAGTGGCATCTCAGTGTCAGCGGCATCTGAGTGTCAGTGACAACACAGTGTTAGTGGGATTTACACTGACGCATCTCAGTGCCAGTGGGATTTACACTGTCAGTTGAATCTCAGTGCCAGAAGGATTTACACTGTCAGTTGCATCTCAGTGCCAGTGGGATTTACACTACCAGTGGCATCTCAGTGTCAGTGGCATCTCAGTGTCAGTGGGTAGTGAGGCTCTGCGCGACAGTGTCCAGGTTGTTGATGATGTTGGCGTTGCGAGTGCAGCCTTCGACGAACTCATCCACTGTGATCACGCCATCTTGGTTCGAATCCAAAGCCTGAAAATTAAAAAAATTAAATAGTAAAATAACGTCAAAACACTCAGAATTTTTGTATGAAAAGTGCAGTGCGATAAATCGCAGAAAATTAAAAAATTTAAACAGTAGAATAACGTCAAACAACTCAACAATTTTTTTGTGAAAAATGCAGTGCGATAAATCGCTGGCGAGACGAGGCCTATCTTCGACGCCTTTGACGCTAAAAACATTTCATTTCGTTAACTAAACCTTATTATTATCGTTATTTCAAGTCAGATGCCTTCTATATTAATAATATGTTACCCGGAATAATCAATAAAATAATATCCACACACACAAAATGTTTCTTCTATATCACGTTAATTGAAATTAAAGTTAAATATTCGCTAAGTAAAATAAAAATGAAACAACGCAATAGATGGACTTTCCAGAAATATATTCGGATATATGAGTTGCTGTGAATTTTAATTCCAGAGCAAGAGAATTTTGGTATCCATGAAGTTGGAATCAATATTTGAAAAATTATGAGACTTATTTTCATGTCAGGCTGAGTTTTCTAAATAGATGGATATTACATGTAAGGTTTGAGTGAATAACTGTACCTATATTTCATTGCTTACATCTGTACTGTAATTACGGAATAAATGATATGGGTTAGGACTCTATACTCATGTATTGACGGAAATAGCTCATCCGAGATAATATATGATTCTTTACATGATGTTTTTAAAATATATAATCTTGAATGTCAAGCGAAAATAAGAGCCTAAACAAACAAATTTACCTTCTCGAGTAGAGACAATCAGTTATAACTGCTCTAGAATAAAGAAGTTACTGCTGCATATGGAACATTTTCTTTGGTATGGAGTTTGCGAAAAGAAAATTGCAATAAGCTCACAGACAATAGCTTGTCATGATTACGACGATCGATATTTTTAATGAGGAACAAAAACAAAAGCTGTGAATATTCAGGCGCATAAGAAAATTTTCCAGGGATATGATGCGTAATTAAGTACAAATATTCTGACGGATATCACAATTGCAACTAATTTTGAAATGGCAATTATATTATACGTATGAATGAACACAGTTTGAGAAAATCTTATACGCTTCTAAATTCGACCAATTTGCAATATTTCATTTAAATATACAAATATTTTTGCATGTGCAAAATTTAAGTTGTTGGTGTAGTTAGGCAGAAGTTCTTCATTTATACAGGTTTGATTGAAGACCAGAGTGTACTTTAAGTTGTATGAACCAACACCAGGGCCACGGCAATCAGATTTGAAATGCCTAGCACCATAGCGAACCTGATAGAAGTCTAGTAGCCATTTCAAACTATCGTCAGTCTTGAAATGATCCGGTCAAATGACACGATTTTAGATCTCCTGTGGACAAGTCACGAAAAGTAGAAGAATCGGCGACAGGCCACATCAGACCTATTCATCAGCGCCGACATCATTATAATATAAATAAAATATGATATGATATGAAATGATATGATATGATATGATATGATATGATATGATATGATATGATATGATACGATATGATATGATATGATATGATATGATATGATATGATATGATATGATATNCACAGCGCGCACCACCTCCAGCAGCTCCTCTCTGCACGAGAGACTTCTTAGTTGTTATCTAATATGGTATCTTGTTTGTCATCTTAATTGTTATAATCGTTATATCAACTAGTATACATAATACTTGAACTCCTAATATTTTATTTTATATATTATCTTAATTGATTTCTAATATGGTATCTTGATTGTCATCTTAATTGTTATGATAATTGTTATGTCAACTGGTATACATCGTACATGTACTCTTAATTTTTAATGTTATTTATTATATTAATTGATATGGTAACTTACTATACATATTAATTGTTATCATAATAGTTATATCAACTGGTATGCATCGTGTTCGATCTCTTAATTTTTTATTTATTTGTTATCTTAATTAATATGTAATATGGTATTTTAATTGTTATCATAATAGTTATATCAACTGGTTTTGTTATCTTAATTTATATTTAATTAAGATTGGTTCGTATAGTTTGTTAAAATGTACATTTCTTCATCCAATAACATTTCACCGTTACCATTGCTTCACTGAAAACGACGTATTCCCCTAGTTTGTGGTGAATTCATTTGGTTTTTTATTTTATGGCAATTCTTCGGTATATTCAACATAAATTTGTCGAGTAGTAAAGTGTGAACAACATAACATTGTGTGGCTTTGTAATAATCATAATTTAAAACTTTGCAAAACTAAACCCAAAATATTACTGAATAAATCTTTCCAATAAATACAAGATATTTACCGTGTTATGCCATGCAGCGCAGGCATGATAATCACCATGCGATACCATGTACGTCGGGGTGAATAATGATCGAGGGTTTAATGTAAAGCTGTTAAGATAAATACACTGTCATTACGTTAAAATTGCTTGTTATATTGTTATATGGGCATTTACCATTGAGGTATGTTAATTACCGTGTGATGCCATGCGATATACGCAATATTATTACCGTGTGATGCCATGCAATAAAGGCAATATAATTACCGTGTGATGCCATTCAATACAGGCAATATAATTACCGTGTGATGCCATGCAATACAGGCAATATAATTACCGTGTGATGCCATGCAATACAGGCAATATAATTACCGTGTAATGCCATGCAATACAGGCAATATAATTACCGTGTGATGCCATGCAATACAGGCAGTATAATTACCGTGTGATGCCATGCAATACAGGCAATATAATTA